CGGTCCAAATCGAATTTTTGGTTTCGGTCGGTTCGGCTCGGTTACCTGAACTTTGTGCACCCCTAATAGAAACCGCGCATGGCATGTGTATATGAATTGGTGGAAAATTCACAAAGACAGTATAATGCAAAGAGCATTTACTGAAGAGTAGTGCATAACACATACAAGGCAATCTATAATGAGTCATTTGATGAGAAGCAAGTATAGGATAATGAGACCTACAAGGATTTTATTAAGAAAAAAACTTTCAGGTTCTACAAAGCTTTTATTCTTGAGACAAATGTGGTATGTTACTTAATAATGTCTACGAAAACTTTCAACAACACCATAGTCAAAGCAAGGAAAAATCCTTATTGACATGCTTGAGATATTAAAACTATATCATGGAAAGTCCATCAGAACCTAATGTTATGTAGTGGAGTAACAGACCTAATATGTTCAAATATCAAGAAAGTAACTGAAGAAACTAAGTTGAATGGTAGGTTTTGTGTGACCAAACTTGCAGTGGGTGAAAAATTTTAAGTTTCCATATCGGATGATTAGTTTTTAATTGATTTGAAGAGCATGCCATTGTTGGAGAATACTGTAGAAGCTCGACTTTTGTGAATATTCCTAATTCTATTTTGAATGAGATGTGTGTGTTTAGTCAAGTTAATGTTCTTAGTTTATTTGTTTATGCGAATTACTTTATTTTACATTTTAGATAATGTGGTTCGATGTGTTGAACAAAAAGATCACATTATCCGTGCCTTGTAAAATGTAAATATTTGTTCACGGTCTAGACATAATTGAACTATCGTGAAAGGTTGTAGTGTGATTTTGGAGTTCCGATTAATCGCTCCACCAAGATTGATTGGAGATGGTGTAAAGGTCATACAATAGAAGATCCAAGGTTATGTATTCGTATCCCGGCGAATATATATATATATATATATATATATATGTATCCCGTGCAATATATTCGTACCCTGTAATGTTTCTGTAATTCATGGGATTATCTGAAAGTTGTTCGATGTCCATCAAACTTGGCGAGGATGATCACCGACATCAACCGCATGTGGTGGTATCACCGGCGCACCAGTCGGAGCTCAGGCGACCTCCGGTAACCCGCCGGAATCTTCCCAACGTTACCAGCCCTTCAGCCGCGTGCAAGTTGTCTTCCCAGTCTGGGCCCAGGCCCAACACATAGAACAACATGTGCGCGGCCCGTTCCAGGTGTCCATCCCAATGCGCAGTCCATTCCCAGCGAGAAGCCCAGTGCACAAAAGAGCCTACTTCGTGTACAGAAGTCCAGCGTGCGAGGCCCGTTTCCAGCCCAGTGCGCAGCCCACATCTCACAAAGCCCAACGAGAGAAAAAGAGACATGCGGTCCGCGTCCAGCCCGCGCGACATGCGTCCCTCACAACCTTCATCCCCCGCGGCCGGTTCCAGACCGCGCCGGCCCATGCATTTTCTTCAACCCAACACGGCACATCAACGAGTATCTCCGGCTCTGTGGCCTTCTCTACCGCCGATTCCACCATCCTCACCAATGAAATCGACGTCGCAACCGTCACCATCTCTTCAGTGACCCTTGGCATCGACTCAGCCACCGATGATGGCGAATAAACAACCATCCCACCGGCTTCGAGGATCGGCTCGTCACCGGCAGAGTTCAGAATAACAACTATGCGTGGGGATGTCGACATAAGAGATTCAAGTCGGAGATCGAGATTACCGAAGGAAACAGAGTCTGCGGAAGCTTGAGGAACTCGTTAATGGCAGAAGTCTGTTTCTGCTTCGGAAGTCTATAGGGCTCAAAAATCGCAAAGCGAGAAAAAGTCCGAGAAATCCCTAAAACCCTGTATATATAGGAAAGGCCCGAAAAATGAAACGACGTTGTTTGTCCATATTCAAAACTCAAAAGAGCAGACCTATCATATCCGAAAGGTCAGAGGTGAATCTATAAACAGATTTAACGCCACGTGGACGAATGATCAAAGCGACGCGACTCTCGAAGAAAAACCCAAGCGTTTCGGACACGCCACAATCAATGCGGGTCTATTCAGATACGTCACCAATGCATTGAGAATCTGCGTGAGTTAGATGCACGCGCCACATGGAGGGCGAATCCTAGCCAACTTGAATAACCTCTCTAAAGAAGATGACCTCCGAAGAAATGTTGAAACACCTTCCATCCGAGCTCGGGGACCTGTATGTTGGCATCCGAGTTGGTAAGTATGGATTAAGGATTTAAAACCCCTAATAAAACAATTTAGCAAACAAGTAATCCCAGAAGGTAGAACTCCCAAACCGGTCTCATCGGACGTAACACCCAGCTCGACCTCATCCCTCTGGAATAGCCGATCTGAACTTGAAGAATGGCAGACAAAGGGAAAACGAGCAAGTGCAGAGTCCGGGCTCGAAGTCAGGAAGAAAGTCTGATTTTGAAGTCAAGAAGAAAGCCCAAGTCCAAGGCGAAAGAAAAGAGGTCTAACTTCAAGTCATGGCAAAAGTCCGACCTTGTAGATCTTAGATGTCGGACCCTACGGCCCACTCAACCGTAGAAAATAATAAAATAAGGCCACTTGCAGCCTAATGATGACCGATGGGATGCGCCGACCAACCCTGCAGACCTATGACCCGTAGGCCCCTAGGTAGCATGTCCTTGTTAAGAGCCCGTCAATCAACATTTAATGGCCGATAATCATCAGTTAGAGTCAACCATGCCTCGTTTAATGCCCGTCATTCCGGTTTACTGTGCAGTATGGCTCGGTGAACATTAGGGGAATAGTAACTGGGAATGTTTAGCTATAAATAGTCCTAAGTTTCATTTATAGCGGGTAAGGTGAACAAAGCTAAGACAAAAAAATAACTGAGATGGTAAAAAATGTGCCTACACTTGACTGAAAAGCACCAAAACTTAGATGGTAAAAAAAAAACAAATATAAAAGTAC